CGGGCCGCCCGGTTCCCTGCGTGCCCCGGAACGCTCCAAGTCGGTGCCCGGCCCGGGGTTATGGGGCTGGGTCGGGGGGCGTAGGCGACGTGGGGCGGTGGGCAAACCTGCCCTGGGGCGCGCCCCCTCGGCCCGCTGCCGTGAGCGCGGAGAGCCAGGCTCCCCAACTAACCCCCATCTACCGCCCGCTCGAGGAGACGGCCGCGGAGACGGCGGGGTAAGGATGCCGGGTCGGCGGTGCCGTGGGAACCAGTGGTCCCGGTCACTTCTGGGGGGAGAATGGCTGGCTCCAGCGCCTGGAATGAGCGCGCTTAGAGATCGGGAAAGGACCCTAGTCACGCGCGGGACGAGCCCGGCCCGACTCCGGGAATGACTCTCTCTGCTTCCTTCCTCCTGTCGTGTCACCTCAGCCTCGGACTTGGACCTCAGCGGAGGTACAGTGCTCTGGCTTCTTGTTCTGCATGTCGTGGGGGAGGATATCCGTGTCCTTTGCTCGGGTCCCCTTTGCAGGCGCCGACCGCCTGGCCAAGAGGGACGGAGGAGAATGGGAATCTCTCCACTCCGGCATCCCGGCTTGCGACGCTGCTTTAGAGAATCTGACGTTGGTTTCGGGTCGGGGGTGGGGCGCGAGGCGGCAAGAGCAAGGGAGCCTGAATTGGGCCGCTTGGGTTCGGGCTGCCCGGGCTCCGTCCTCGGTCACGGGGGGCAGAAGGCCCTCCCGCCCTTCCCCTTCCTGCAAATGAGAAGAGAGAGACACTTCCTGAAGGCAGGGGAACCAGCTGGGCCCTCGGGCCTCCTTCCAGCCCTGGCTGTCCCTGGCACTCACCGGCAAACGTGGGATGTGTGGCCAGGCTGGACCGTACAGGAAAGGTGTTACGTTTTCCCTTGACAGTCAGCGTGGAAAAGTAGGGGTTTGCCAGGAAATTCAGCTCCAGCGTGTGCTGTGCTGGTGGCCAGGCTGGGGTGTTCCTGGGGGATTATTCGCCTTTGCCCTGCTGCCTGGCTGGGAGCCAGCTTTAAGGACTCCTAAAAGCCTAGCTGGTCTCCCTCCTCCTCCGCCCTCCCGCCCCCCCGTTCTCCTCCCCCTTCCCCAGTATCAGCCACAGCCTCTCGGGAACATCTCCTTGAGATAATGTCCAGCTTTTGAGCTCTCCTAATTTGCTGGTGGACCAGTCTAGTTAGGGTTTCCCAATTTAGCGTCAGTAGCCAAAGAATGACAGGAAAAGGGAGAGGATACAGGACTCATAACTCCTTGCTCACTGAGAATTTCTTTATATGAGTGATGAGAGGAGAAACAGAAACTAAAGATTTGCTGCAGCTTTCTGGATGGTCTGTATGTGTGTTTTCCCATTTAGTACGAATAACGTAGTTCACTGACTGTGGCCTGTTGCCCTGTATTCTGGACAGTGTCTGGAGTCACGAACGCTGTCTGGCTCCCTGCACAGCTGCACAAGTTTGGAAAATGTGAACATTCCAGAAGGTCTGGGAAGAGGCTCTCAAACCAAAAATCCTTTACCTCTGGCTCCATGGCAGCAATTCACACCCACAGTCCACGGTCCGGCCTTTGCATTGCCGGGGACTCCACCCGTGCTGACAGGCGGTTTTCACTTTGTACATCTGGGTCCAGAAACATACGCCATGTGCTCCCGTGGGCTAGCAACTGGCATTTGTTTCTGTACTCCCAGCACCTAGCACAATGCCAGGCACAGAGCTTACACTCAGTAAATGGTGATTGAACAAAGGCCTCGGGAGGCTAATGTTTCAGCACAGACGCCCGTGAGGCAGTGTGTCCTGGTGAACGATTTGTTATTGTCTCAGTAGAATCCCATTCGTTTATCTTGGTGGAATCCCATCTGTTTATCTGAGATGGTCTTCAGCCCTTTAGGTGTCGGTCAGATGAGATGCATTACATGGGCTACCAGTGCAGCGTCAGCCCTGGGGTGGAGTGAGGACACTGCCGTACAGTTCACTGGTACTAGCATGACTTGTTTTTTATTTTTGAGTGGGAGTCTCACTCTATCCCCCAGGCTAGAGTGCAGTGGCAAACTCACGGCCATCACAGCCTCGACCTGCTGGGCTTAGGCGATTCTTCTGCCTCAGTCTTCCAAATAGCTGGGACTACAGGCGCATGCCACCACATTCAGCTAGTTTTTGTGATTTATTATAGAGACAAGGTCTCACCAAGTTACCCAGGCTGGTCTCAAACCCACGGGTTCAGGCAATCCTCTCACCTCGGCCTCCCAAAGTGCTGGGATTACAGACTGAGCCACCGTGCCCAGCCACCTGCATGACTTTGTAAATAGAACTGGGTTCTAAATCAGGCCATGCTGGTAGCCATGTGACCTTAACCAAATTACTTAACTTCTCTGAACCTCAGTGATCCCATTTGTAAAGTGAGGCATAAACACTGTCTATACCAGGGGATTGTCGTGGAGATAAATAATGTATGTAATAAGTGAGATAAATAACGTATGTAAATGTAAAGCCCTTACCATAGTTTGTAGCACATAGTAAGAGTTCAGTAAACGCAAACTGTTGTCTTTAGGTCAGGGAACTGACTCAGTAGCAGAAAACCCATGGACCTGATGCTCTTAACTTCTGCTTACACCGTAGACTAATCAAATTCTCAGAACTGCTGCTTAGGCAGAAGGTTCCTGGGTAAAGGAGCCCATGCCTGACTTCAGAATGCCTCTCCTACCTGAAGGACAAACAGAGATGCTTGCTTTGAGCCACACCACCCTGAGAGTCCCTAATGAAAGTGTAATCTGTGTGCTTTTAAGTGAAACCATATATCGCCATTTCTTTGAAAGGGTAGTCAAAATGTCAGCTTTTCATGAATTTGTCATGGAACAAACAAAACGTATCCCTACACAGTGTGGGCATCAGAGTTGAAGCCATTGCACCTTCATGCTGGAAGGAGTTTTTTTGTTGTTGTTTGTTTTTTGAGTTGGAGTCTCACTCTGTCGCCCAAACTGGAATGCAGTGGCATGCTCCCAGCCACTGCAGCCTCGACCCTCTGGGCTCCGGCGATCCTTCCGCCTCAGCCTTCCAAGTAACTGGAACTACAGATGCGCGCTACCACACCTGGCTAATTTTTGATTTATTGTAGAGATGAGGTCTCGCCAAGTTGCCCAGGCGGGTCTCAAACCCGCGGGCTCAGGCAATCCACTCACCTCAGCCTCCCAAAGCATGGGATTACAGGCTGAGCCACCGAGCCCGGCTTGGAAGGGGTATTAATTTGCTCTGGAAACCCTAACTGACATGGTAACTGTCATAACAAGCATTTTCCCATTTCAATGTAATCAGAACAAACATTTTCCCAGTTCTATGTCTGTCTCTTAATTTTGATTTTTAAAAAATGCTTGTCCATGTCACTGCATTTCTTAGGGAGAGATGATGGCAATGCATTGGTACCAGGGTGGGGTGTGAGTGAGTCTTGATGCTGTGGGCTTAGCAGGGTCTTACAAATTGCAGCCTTCCTGAAGTCCCCACCAGTTCTAGTTCTGTGGATTGGCTAAGAGTGGGGACTATTTGTTGCACCCTGCTCAGCCCACAGCATTAAGACTCATGCATTGCCATCACCCCTCCTTAAGAAAAGCAGTGACATGGACAAGCATTTTAAAAATATCAAAATTAAGACAGACGTAGAACTGGGAGTAATCAGAATTCCTGTCCACTGGTAGCTTCATTCAGATGCCTCCAAGCATTCTTGCTCTTTTGGGGACACTGAAACAGGTCAGCTTCTTTTTTCTCTAGGGCAGCCGGTGTGCCGTAGAGGGACACAGAGACCTTGTTACAAAGTCATTTACTTCCATGATACTTCTCGAAGACTGAACTTTGAGGAAGCCAAAGAAGCCTGCAGGAGGGATGGGGGCCAGCTGGTCAGCATTGAATCTGAAGATGAACAGAGACTGATAGAAAAGTTCATTGAATACCTCTTGGCATCTGATGGTGATTTCTGGATTGGGCTCAGGAGGCGAGAGGAGAAACAAAACAACAGCACAGCCTGCCAGGACCTTTATGCTTGGACTGATGGCAGCCCATCAAAGTTCAGGTAAGTGTGTGGAACCCACAGCAGCTGACTCACTTGACATAGCAAAAAAAAAATCCAGGCTAGATCCGTGGTGCCAGATCAGTGGGGAAGAGGAGACCAGCATGGCAAGGGGGAAGTGGCACCAGAACAGCCACTGACCAGCGCAGTGTTGAAGGTGGTGAACTCAGCCTTGACTTGGGTGCAACTAATATCCAAAGAGCTGTTTCGGTGGGCGCCACCCACTAGCATGGCTGGGAGTCAGTGGTTCTGGCTATCCGGCCTTTTGGACTAGACTGAAGGTCCATACGGTTAAGACTCTGGATAGGATGAGCACCCAGAGCCCTGGATGCAGTCAGACCCACAGCTTGTGGCCCGCCAGCCGCCCTGGACCTCCGACTCTCCTTGCCATGTACCCCAAGAGGGCACGGCTAGGTCCATGCAGCACCACTGCCATTGCTGGGAGATCTCCAGCATCTAGGGGTCATTTTAGTTCTAGACACGTGCTTTAAAAATAACACAACCAGAGGCCATGGCTCACGCCTGTAATCTCAGCATTTAGGGAGGCCCCGGAGGGAAGATCACTTGAGCCCTGGAGTTTGAGACCAGCCTGGGCAGCATAGCGAGAACTTGTCTCCACCAAAAATAAAAATAAAAAAATTAACCAGGCGTAGTTGTCAGTGCCTATAGTCCTAAAAAAACCAAAAAGACTCAGGATAGGACTCCAGACCACAGGGAATTGTGATAATTAGCAAGAAGTCAGAGCCAAGTTCCAGTTCTGTGGATTGGCTAAGAGTGGGGACTTTAGGAAGGCTGCAGTTTGTAGGACCCTGCTAAGCCCACAGCATCAAGAATCACTCATAATCCACCCCGGCACCAATGCATTGCCATCACCCCTCCCTAAGAAATGCAGTGACATGGACAAACATTTTTTAAAAATCAAAATTAAGAGACAGACATAGAACTGGGAAAATGGTTGTAACAAATCTAACAAAGAGTTAACATCATTTCATGGTCAGGAGTTTGCATAAGTCGATAAAACACTAAGATTACAGGTAAAGTGAAAAAAATACCTGAACAGACAGTTTATAAAATAAAAAATCTAATTGGCAAGCAGTTATATGGGGGAAAGTCTAACTGCATCAAAAGAATGAAGATTAAAATATTTTTTAACTATTACATGTAAGCAGCATGTCAGTATCTATCATAGTCCACCCATCCGCTGATCACATCCACATCTTCATGTGAGTTCTGGAAGTAGTGCTTCCAGGATTCCAGGAGCCTCTCTTCCCAGAAGAAACCTCAAAAAGGAAGGTTTTGGATGAACAACATTTCCCATCACTGCAGTGGGTTCCAGGGCCACATCTGATACTTATTCCCCTCCTCTACTGTTCAGTCCAGGTTCACTTACCCTCTGCTGATCTCGGTGGCTTACCTTGTGGCATGATCCAAACCCTCATCTCTGATGAGTCTGAGGTCCTAGTTACCTTGCGCTTCTCAGGCTGGAGTTGGTATACTTTTCCAGTGACCATTCAAATTGGGCAAATGAATGCCAAGAGGTACCCAAGTAGATATCCTGGGTGCCTTCTCCTTGCCCGTAATATAGAACAACAGACCCATCTCCTCCTGATAAGTAGGGTCAATTATCTCCTGTCAAGATAATGACTCATCTTCTTACCTGCTGGTCCCTGGACACAAGGATCCCAAAGTGCCCAAGTGGCAGTGATAGCTCATAATTCAATAAGACTCTTGCTGTGTCTTCTTGTAGAAATCTTCCCCTGTGGGAACCAGGACCTCTAAACTTCCAGAGCCCAGCACTGCAGAGACAAGAAGCACAAATTCCTCAAGTGTGTCACTGCCAGTGATACTAAGAAAGGATACTCCTATTTCCACCCCTTAGCTCCCAAACCCATGTACTCTTATTCTCGAAGACACAGGGCTACATAGAGGGCATTTGACTCACGGCCCCTTTCAGGGGTCCAATGTAGTCAACTTGCCACCAAGTGCCATGCTGGTCTTCTCAAGTGTTGATGCTGTATCAGAGACTTAGCATTGGTCTCTGTTGCTGGAAGGTTACACATTTGGCAGTAACAGTAGCTAGATTAGCCTTGGTGAGTGGAAACCAATCTGTTGAGTCCATGCATAGCCTTCATCTCTGCCACCATGGCGACTCTGTATATCTAGGATTGGAGTGGCTGATAACAGGCTGGCTGACATCACCTGGCTAAGTCATTTTGTCTCTCTGTAGCTGCTCCCTGGTGGGCTTTAACATCTGATAGATGCTGATACATTATACTCACTCCCATTCATCTGTTCATGTCACTCTATCCAAAAACCTCCATATTCCCAATCTTGCAATGTTTTTCCATTTAGACTCTTGATCAGCTGGGCATGCCTTACCTCTGAGTCCTTATGTATTCTAATCTCCAATAACCTCCCTTTCCACACAAAGTGGTTAACTAGGTGCTCCAACCAAAGCGCTGGCCATTAAAAGGCTGTCCCCTTACCACTGCCTTTCAAGGCCTCCTCCGAGTGGGGCTGCAGTGTAGCTACTGTCCATTTCAGCACATACTCCCATTCTCAGCTGACGTATCCATGAACCACGTTCAGCCTGCCTGTCAAAGCTGGTCCTAAGGAATTCCTCCATGCAACCACAGGTGTGGATTAAGGGAGAGGTTCTGGAGCTACAGTGGCAGATGTCATGACAGTCTGCCCCACCTACTCATCCAGCACCCTTGGTTCTGCTCATACAATGCCTTTCAGTACTAGATATACTTCTTCTGTCTTACAATGGATTCATTCTGGGCTTGCCTGACCTGAGATTAAGGGTGTCTGACAGTATCTAGCTCATGATGGGCAGGTTATGTGACACGGTCTCCTGGTTCCCTTGCATAGTAGCAAACCAGGAGTTGTTTTTCAAAAGGTGACTAATTTTCAGCTACAGGCAATACAACCTTGCTTCAGAATCCTAGGGGTCTACATAGCAATTCTCTCACTGGGACTCATCACAACTTCTATATGGCATTATTTTTTTCTTGCTACAGACATCCCTAATAATAGGATTTTCTGGATTATGTGGTCCAAGTGGCAAGTCTGCTTGCACACAGCTTACACCCACATCAGGGTTCTTTTCTGCTGTGGATCCCACAGCTGTCTTTCCTGTCACCTGGTTTACAGGCCAGAGAAGTATTCCCAGGTGTAAAATATGCTGCCTCTACAACCCAAAGAGGCCTACAGGGCTATGCTTCCTTCTTCAAATCATTGCAAGAGACAATAGTTTGTTCTTTAATTTGAAAGGAATCTTCTGGCATTCCCTAGATCACCAGACACCTACACATTTTATTAAAGTGGTAGACCTCTGAATCTTCATGGGTTTATCTCCAGCCTTCTGAAGTACATGAGTCTTACTAAGGCCTTTAATGTACTAACTACTTCTTGCTCTCTGGTCCAATTAGCATGATGTCAGCAATATAGTGGACCAGCGTCATTTTCTGCAAGATATCTAGGAAGTCCAGGTCTCTTCACACTACATTATGACAGAGGGGAAAAATTAATATAGCCTTGAGGCAAGACCATAAGTATAAACTATTGTCTATTCCAATAAACTGTTTCAGATTCTCTTTCTGACACAGCCAGAAAAGAATGTATTCGCCAGATTTGCATTCTAGGCACCCTAGCAAAGATACCACATATGGCACAGTAGCCACAATCAGGGCTTCCATTTGGTTGAGTTTGTGTTAATCTAGTGTCATCTTTCAGGATCTGTCTGATTTTTGCAGGAGTCAGACTAGTGAATTAAATAGAGATAAAATAGGGAACACCTCCTGTGCGTTATCTGGGTGTTTAAGGATGGCACTACTGTTTGCCATCTTCCCCTGGGTAAGATATTGTTGCTGATTTGCTGTCTTAGTGTCTTCAGAGGCTTCCACTTGGCCTTCCCCACTGTGGTGGCTCTTACCCTATAGGTAAGCTGACCAAGAGACCATAAAGCTCAATCTGCCAAGGAACCAATATGGAATTGTACCAACTACCAAATATGTCTATTCAACTGATATATCTGGGGACTGAGGAATGACCACTGGCTAAGTGCCACTATGAGCTGATTCTGATTCTGGGCCAGACCTCCATTTAATACCTGGCCCCAATATGCTCTTGCTCTAATGGATAGCTTTGATGACACTTCAAGTCTGAGTATTAATGTCACTTGCATCCTGTGTCCCCCTTCCTCGGTGTATTGTTACTTGAGTAAATGACCACGGGTTCTTTTAGAGAAGAACAGATGACATTATTACCATGTGCACCTCCCATGGTGTTACAGGGTCCTTCTTACTGGAAACCTGGTCTCTCCCTCTATCAGTGAGTTCTGAGTCTGAAAACAGGCTCAAGGCCAGAAATTATGCACCAGGCATAATATTCTATTTATGGAGACAAAATAATAAGGCCAATGAGGAAGAGAATGAGGTAAATCAGGGTAGGAGGCCCAACAGGGTTGGAAAATGGGGTGGAAATAGCTAATGAGGTGCAGAGTCCAGCCTCTGTCGGGACTCTCAGCTGCCCAGGCATGATGTCCAAGGAGTGTTTGTTGCAAGCTCAACTATTGTCAGGAAATTCAATCCAGTGGATGCCACACAGGACTCATGTCCTGTTGTAGTGCCACCAAGAGCCCTGTCTCTGAGCTGGCCCTTTCCTGAGGAAGGGCTCTGACAAGAGCTAGGCAGAGCAGCAGTTCCTGCTCTGAGCATCCGGGCAAGCTAAGTAGTCTGAGCATCAGGGCAAGGTCTGAGCGCCACAAGGAAAGAGCTCAGGCGAGTAACCAGGCAGACTACAAAGCCCAGCCTTGGATCAACACACACAGTGGGTACTTGCAAATTTAAACTTTCTATGGGATCTGAGGCTTTAACCTGGCACCCACATGTCCAACTGGGTGACAGCACCATTTAATCTCAAGTAGCACTGGGTGTTAGAGCTAAGGTGGCTAGTGCACTCTCCAGGGAGCTAGGGAGACAGAGATAAGACATCCAGCAGTGGACGCTGAGGAGCCAATCAGCCAGATCAAGTGGAAACAACTTAAAAACTGAAAAAGACCACACGGTCCTCCTACTTTTGCCCTACCCCTGCTTTGACAGGGGTACATTCTGGAATGTCTTGCTCACATGCTTGAATTTCCCATCGATTTCCTAGGGCTGGGAAGGCCACTGTGGTCCTTAAAAAGCATGAGGGAAGGCCATGAGTGGTGACTTATGCCTATAATCCCAGCACTTTGGGAGGTCGGGGTGAGAGGATTGCCTGAGCCCATGGGTTCGCAATCATCCTGGGTAACTTGGTGAGACCTCATCTCTACAATAAATCAAAAAGTAGCCAGACTTGGTGGCGTGCACCTATAGTTCCAGCTACTTGGAAGGCTGAGGCAGAAGGATCACCGGAGCCCAGCAGGTTGAGGCTGCAGTGGCCGTGAGTGTGCCACTGCACTCCAGCCTGGGTGACAGAGTGAGACTCCAACTCAAAAAAAGTTTTTTTAATTAAAAAAATGAAAATTATTTTTTAAAAAAATATAGTGGGAGATGGGAGTGGGGCAGGCTCTGGATTGGATAAGCCATGCCTCTACTTGGTGCATATGAGCTCTAAAAAAAAAAGAAGACTGGGCACAGTGGCTCAGTCTGTAATCCCAGCACTTTGGGAGCCCGAGGCGAGAGGATTGCCTGAGCCTGGGAGTTCGAGACCAACCTGGGCAAGTTGGTGAGGCCTTATCTCTACAATAAATCATAAAAACTAGCCGGGCGTGATGGTGTGCATCTGTAGTTCCAGCTACTTGGAAGGCTAAGGCTGAAGGATCACCTAAATCCAGCAGGTCGAGGTGGCCATGAGCATGCCACTGTACTCCTCCAGCCTGGGCAACAAGAGTAAGACTCCAACTCAAAAAAAAAAAAAAAATGCCGGGTTCGGTGGCTCAGCCTGTAATCCCGCGCCTTTGGGAGGCTGAGGTGAGTGGATTGTCTGCGCCCACGGGTTCGAGACCCGCCTGGGCAGCGAGACCTCATCTCTACAATAAATCAAAAAATCAGCCGGGCGTGGTAGCACATGCCTGTAATTCCGGCTACTTGGAAGGCTGAGGCGGAAGGATCGCCGGAGCCCAGCAGGTGGAGGTTGCGGTGGCCGGGAGCGGCCACTGCACTCCAGTCTGGGCGACAGAGTGAGACTCCAACTCAAAAAAAAAAAAGGAAATAAAATCCATCTTCCAGACTAGCCCTGCTAGCTGCTTTTCCTCTAATTACTTTGCAGACTCATGTGGTGATCTATTCCTCCCTACAAAGAGATTGTGGCCAATGTCAGATGACTGATTGTGATATCTGTACTAGAAAGCATGTGGTTCAGCTTCCTGGCAGCACTCCAATTCCTCCCTCTCTCTGTATCGTGTTCTGAAGCCAAATCTTATATTCACGGCTCAGTGGAACGTGACGGGAGAACAAAGTCTTTGAAATCTTGGGGGAATCCTTCCCCAGTTGCCTCCATTGCCGATCCCTTTCCCACAGGAACTGGTATGCGGATGAGCCATCCTGCGGCAGTGAGATCTGCGTGGTCATGTACCATCAGCCATCGGCACCCGCCGGCATCGGAGGCCCCTACATGTACCAGTGGAACGATGACCGATGCAACATGAAGAACAATTTCATTTGCAAATATTCTGATGGTAATGAACCCTCTTCCCAGGCTGAAATCTCAGTCTCCGCTCTCGTTTCATAAGCAGCTGCTGGTACCAAGAATGTGTCATGTGGTCTCGGAGAAAGCTTGTTACAAATGCCAGCAGTGTTAAACCTCGGGAGTTCTCATGGAGGGAAATGTAACAACACTTAAGAGTAATTCTAGCAAAGAAAAGGTAATCACATGTCGAGAGAAGGGATGAAAACAAGAAAAACTTCTAATTTATGTGTGATCAAGCAAAACTTAGGAGAACTTCAGGAAATTAAAAAGCCATCTAAGTGGCCAGCCATAAATTCTTATTCTTTCCACATGTGAGGTTGGCTGTAGGAGCTTAGAATAAGCTGGCTGTTGCTCCTACAAGTTTTCCAACAGTCACGTGAGATTTTCTGAGGATTGAAGGAAACGTGATAAAATGTTTAAAAAAGAAAAAAGATAAAGCACGAATTTCACCAACACCAGGCAGAGACTGTAGGCACTTTGATGAGATTTAAACTCCCCAAACCCCGCCTCTATATGATGCCTTGCAAATTCAACTTGGATTTGTAAAGGCTTCGAACTGGTCACAAGCCTCTCTTCTGGGGTTTCCCAGACTTTTCCATTTTAACTGATTTATATTGAAACTTGAACTGATTCTTGATCTACCCCTGACGTTTCTCACCTCTCTGAAGCCAAGTACTTGGCTCCAATTCCGCATTCTTTCCTGACAGTAGAGTGACTTGTTAGTTACATCTAGTTTAGGACTAAGTAATCCAGCCATTTAAAAATTGTTTGAATTGGACTATGCTTTGGTGGCAATTTTTGCTGCTAAAAGTTGTTTTGCCTCTCACTTTATCCCCTCAGATGAATTCCTCTTTCCAGTGACCTGGCCCTTGCCACCATACAGTATTGTTTCTGGGGGAGATTGCAAAGACCTAGACTGTCTTAGCAGGTCACCTTTTTAAAGCAATGAAAGCAGACCGGCAAACTGGCTATTCCATCACTTGCAAACTGGCTTTCCATCACTTTTGCTCACTAGATTCTATTAGCTCCAGGGTTTAAACTTTTGCACTTCTTTTTTTTTTTTTTTTTTTTTTG